TGGTGTCTCTATATAAAAAAGATACTCTGCAATTCTACAACTCCATAACTTCTTCCATTTACCTTGTTTTGTGATTTCTTTCTTTATAGTCTCTCTTTCAAATTTTTATGTTTCTATTATACACAGAATCTAGAGCATTCTATATTATAAAGTTTTATCACATGGTTAGCACTGCAAAAAAACATGGGAAAATGGAGAAAAAATGTTAAGAAAAACATGGTTTTGCTCTCAAGACAGTTATAATCTTGCTAAGAAGAAAATATTTACAAGTGAACTTTTTAAAACAAGATAATATGTGATAAATTTGTTAAGTACATGATTCAGCATAAGTGAAGAGTTCTGTACTTTCAGTGACCACTGTAGACCTACTCTATGCCAAGCAGGATCCAGGGACACTAAAGTGGTTACAGGTCTTTGGTTTTGTTCAGTTTTTATGTCTGCTATCCAATTATAGGTGAAGATTTACTCATTCAATACGCATTATTGAACATCTCTACATGACAGACACTGAGACACTTTTAATAAAAACTAAAGATGAATCAAAAAGATGTGAAACAAGCCCATTCCAATGTGGGAATGGCAGGCTGTCGGGGAGCTATATTCATTGTCGAGCTTTCTGTTTCTCTGTTCCTAAGCAAAACAAAGGTAACAGCATACACTTTCTTTCTATCAGGGCCCGTTCAACCTTTTATACAATATGCAGTTGTCCTGTTTCAATAACTTTTTGCAATTCTTGGTATTATTCTCTTTTATCTTCACAGATTAATTGCTTTCATTCATAAAACACTGTTAACAGATTGATTTTCTCTTAAACACAGGTTGATTTTTTTCAGGTCACAAAAGGACATGATGTACTTTGTGAATTAATTGTTTTTGACTCCAGAGTCATACCTTTCAGCAAGATTAATGACTCACCCAGAGCCCGCACAGTGCTAGATAGTGGAGAGTTTGTTACTAGCTTCTGTGTTCCCAATCAGCACTTCTGCTTTTATTCTTCCCATCTTTGATGTTTTATTTTGATTTAGTAATATATTGTGTCTTTACTCCTATGTCCCTAAAAGGTGCTCTCTCTGTAGAAGTTGCAATGGTAGCTTCCCAAAGAGTGCTTTTCCTACAGGCACCCCACATCTTTCAGTATCCCCACATCTCTTCCCACCAAAATAAACACCTCCTGAAAGCTTAAACATAAAATGAAGCTAAGTAATTTTGTTTACGAATACAAACAGTTTGGATTTAGTAGCCAAGATTTAGGGCAGTTCCTATGTTGTCAAACATGGTTAACCATCCCAAAGGGATCTTTATTACACTGCTTTCTATACAGCAAGGAGAGGGAGGTGGTGGCCAGTTATGGGAAATGAGAGAAAGGCTTTTCTCTTACCTCTGGGGAGTGTAGATGGTTGATATGGAAGATTACACTGGAACAAAGATTGTATTGCTGGCTTATGTCATTTATGCTCTATTTGTACTACATTATTATAGACTAGTTCTATTGTCTTGACAGACAATAGAGGGTTTTATTTCAGTGTTATGTATAGAAGGCCTGTATGGTCTCTTTCTTCCCTTCTCAGAGACAAGAAGATATTTAGTGTCAGATTTCTGAAGGAGCCATGTCAAAATGAAGAGGTATAAACATTTCCTTTTTTTTCCCCTTTCTTCCCCCATGTTAGCTTTCAAAGTTCCATAATTCCTCTGTTGTTTGTGACAGAAGAGGAAATCATAGCACATTACAGAATAGTCTTCTTGGGCAACTCTATACAAATAAAAATGAGTCCGTAAAATAGATCTTAATGGAAATTTCCATTTCATACACTTAAAAAGCAAGCCTTTAGATAATTTTAGGAAAAATGGCTTAAGCATAAATACTCAGAATATTCTGCTTTTAGGTAAAAATTTCTTTCCTTCTCATTCCTATTCTCATCATATACATATGAAAACTCTGCAGTTTTATATTTGCAAATAGACACATATTTCAACAAGGCATAAACAAATGCACATTCATAACAATTGTTTCAGTTTAACCATTGCTTGCTAGTGTTATCTACTGGGACTTATATTCAGTAATATTGCCAAAACTTGTATCCAGCTGAACTCTGTGTTCTATCCAGTGTCATGAGTTTCTCTCCTGTAGTAAGGGATTATCTCTATGAAACAAAATGTTCCTTATAGGCACCTATTTGATTAGAATGCACTCAACACAAAGAATATCTTTTTTTCCCTCAATTCAGACAAGAAGACAAAAAGTATTTCAGATAATTCATGACAACAATTCAATGTCATTGTCCTAAATTTCCTAAATTATCCTTTCCAGTTTCAGCAATTAAGGACCATCCCTTGTTAGTGACAAATCCTTGTCTTCCACAAATACTCAGCCTTAATTATCTCTTATTAACCTGCTCATCACTAGTTTGCCTTGGTTAGACCACTTTGGTATTAAGTAACTGCCATTCAATCTACACTGACCTGCTTCTTTCTAAAGAAAATTGGTGTAATGGGAATATCGTTTTTGTTCCACTCAATTATCTAAACATCCTGTGTTGCAGTTTCCCCACTGTCAAAGCAGAAGTGTCAAAGAGACTGATGGGAGTTGAACAGGTGAGGTCCATAGGCTCCCAGTGCCTGAGGAGTCTGTGCAGGGGAGGGTTGAAAAAGGAAGCATATTGTATTGAAGATGATGATAATTATTGTCATTTGACAATAATTGTTCTTCAAGTCACTGACTGAGTCCATTTCACAACATTCATAAGTAAATTTTGGACACAATTTCTACAAAATAAGTTGCAATTTTAGAAGGCTTAGAAAAAGCAGAACTGATTTTATTAGTTTATTAATAAAGGCAAACTCAGCTCTGTGGGGAAATAAAATGACACTTCCATTTTCTATATCATCTCTCCTTTTTTATTCTTACTGCTCCCACTTCTTATCACACCACACTTTGCTGTGTTACAATATCTTCCCAACTGGCCTCCCTCCATGAGTGGCCCCTTCCTTTCTGGTTCATCCTATAGAGTCCTTCACCTCCATTTTCCTAAAATACCACAAAGTTGCCAAGCTCTTATCAACTCCTTGCTTATGGAATTAAGAACAAATCCTTATAAAAAGAGGAAGTTAAAAAGGTGAATATGGTTCATATATTCCCTACATAAGAATGAATATAGAATTTTTAAACTTGTTGAAACCACCAGAAGAAGGGGACTAAGATAGAAAGAAGAAAAACACAGGCAATGAACCAATTCGGGTTTTAATACATATATACACATATATGGAAAGCTAGCTTAAACAAACAAACATGTCATATTTTTCTTTTACAAAATCAGAGAACAGGAGGGCAGAACAGGTCCTGCCTGGGGTGGAGGGTTTCTACCAGTGGGAGGGGGGAGAAGATGTGAAAAGGGTGTGGGAAGGTGAATACAGTACAAATTCTGTGTACATATGTATGTAAATGGAAAAATGAGATCTGTTGAAACTGTTCCAGGAATGGGGGCAGGAAGCGATAAAAGAGAAGGGTGGAGGGAGTGAATTCAAGCATGATATATTTGATATATTGTAAGAACATTTGTAAATGCCACAGTTTACCCTCACCCAGAATAACAATAAAAAAGAAAAATATATATATAAACTGAGATTTTTCAGAAAAAAAAAAAAACAAGAACAAACCCTTAACCCAACAATCTCACTTATGACCTTAAGGTGGAACTCTAAAGGCAACTTCTTTTGGACTACTTTCTGATCTAGAGTATTCTGTGAGCCTCCATGTGCTGGTTTCTGATTTAGCTGCTTAGCCCAGCACTGTCCCCCAGTCTTTACCAAAATAAAGTCTACCCTTCTGCTCCAGAAGTTATCCTCACTATAGCTAGAATCCCTTCTGTTTCAGATTTCTGAAGCACACAGTCTGCATCACAAACTTGGCATATCATCAGCGAATAGTGCATGTATTGGTACAAGTTTTAGCTCTCTCACCAGATTGAAACCCAATGGAAGACAGAACTCATAACTTGCATGGCAAAGTGCTTATTGGAGGAGGGAGATAGCATGACTGAATGTTCACTGAGTAAATGAATTCGTAAAAACAAAAGAAAAGCAGAGCTAAAAGGAAAAGTATCAAAGGAAGAGTCATCATTTTTAAAACAAGTGGAAAATTCATTTTTATCTGTAAGTAAAATGACTAGCATAGAATATGAACAAAATATGCAATAAACCATTTCCTATGAAAATTCCAAATGGAAGATGATAAGTTTGTACTGGGACTGAGTACTTATATGTATCCTGCCTGCATTAAGACTAACATTCTCAACCTAACACTGTGCTTTTGCAGGTCAAGGCAAGGGACTCTTTACCATCAGCAGATATTCTGGCATTTCAGAAATGGTCATTTACACTATTAAATGTCTTGCAGTTGTAAGCATCAGTGCAACCATGGTCAATTCACAAAGATGATTCAGTCTACAAGACAGTGCATGTCTAGATAATGAATTCCATTAAAGCTGTGCAGAAGTTCAGAACTGAAAATCTGAAAGCATATGCTAAGATAACGTTTATACTAGTCCTTGAATATTCTGGCAAGGCAAACCATAAGAGCTAATGAATCAGTGATTAAAAGGTAGAATAGATATGCTATCACAACTATTAGAAAGATTTTGAGTGATCTAATACCATATCCTAAATTTTAAAATTTTTCTATGGGAAACAATCCTTGAGAATTTATTGATATCGTAAGGCTTTATTCCACATACAATAAAAAATAATTACCATACAATTGGACTGCTGATTGTATGCCAATTTAATTAAGGAAGCTACTTAAATATGCCATACATGCATTGTTCTTTTATATCAAAAGGTCTGACATTGCAAAGACCTCAAATATTTCTGGTTTCTTAAATAGGAAATGATAGACACTCTGGGTCTATCTGTGCTTTCCAATAAATGTTATTTTGAGATGCTTATAACATAGTTTCATAGCCCAAGGAATAAAAAACACTCATAACCAAAAGACAGTTCCCTACCTTGTATTTCAGATCATGCACACTGAGGAGTTCCATTGATCAGCCTGGTGTCTATTGAATTCACTGACTTTGATAACAGAGGTATAAGGGTAAATGAAGAGATGGTCTGAGTCGTGTGATTTTAAGGGTGCATGCAAGAAATTCAACCAAGAAGGTGTTCTCTTTGTCTTTCAAGTCTTTCCTTCACCTTCTAAAATTGCAAATAACCCTACAAAAAAAAAACAAACTTTTAAATTATTTGGGAATAAGAGAGACTAGGCAGAGCAGCACAGATAGGAAAAGACAGTTTGGAGGAAAGCATGCAGCTGAGGAGAGAAGAGTACAGATTATTCTAGAGAGCCCAAGGCACCAATCTGAACCTTGCCTACTTCTACCTTTTGGCTGTGTTCACCCCAGGATACACTCTTATGATCAATTCAAATCCATCATTAACCATACATATAAAAATTGTGGAACTTGGGCCAAGTCATGGTGACCTCAGCTTTTTAAAAATAGCCTTCTTGGTGAGAAAACCGTGTCATATACAGCAGATTAAATTGTGGAAGGAAGATGTCAAACACTGAAAATATATTTAGGAAGACCATGCAATTTATCATCCAAATGTGGATACCAAAGAGTGCATATTTTTGCAATTATAGGAATGCCAGGCAGACAAGTAGGCTAGAATTCATGATTATCATAGTAGTACCTTCATTTTTGACCATCAAAAACTATTGCTATTTTTCTGATGATGGAATAGATAATTAATTTTCACTTTCAATTGTTTTGAGAGTTGAATGATTAATTCCAATGGCTGATACTGTTTTCTAATTCCTGATCTAATTTGATGCAATGTATTAGGTATATAGTTAACCTGGTAAATCCTTCACTGATCCTGGGGTGAAAAGTGGCAGGTATACATAGCTGGAAACAGAGGTAGAGAGAGGCTTCTCCAAAAGGAACCCAGGATATTTAATAGGATAGAGATTGACCCCAGAAGACTGTGAGATGGGAAAAATCTGGAAAGCAGGCCAGATATTTGTAGGAGGGGGTGAAAAAAACTTTTTAGGCTCTGGAGGAAAATGCTGAATAAGAGCTAATGAAAAAGAGAGTTCCTGAAATCTCTGCCACAAAAAGAGTGAAAGACTGATTTATTTCAAAAGGTGTGCTATAGCTTTATTTCCATGTTTTCATAAATTGCATAGTGCTAATTCTTACAATGCCAAGCAATGTTTGCTCTTGTCATTCCTCTCCTAAGAAATGAAGATGGCCAGCCTGAACTACAATATGAGACCCTCTCTCAAAATAAAAAAGTAGAAGATTCTGTTTGATTCCATCACCCTCTAGTAAAAACCCTCGTGGCCCATGGATTTCATCTATCACTGGGAATAGACTGCATCTCCTGAAAGTCATCCTTTGGCCTATTGTAACTATGTTTTCTGTATGCAGGAAATAGAGAAGATCCCTTGGGAAATCCTACAATTTCTACCATTTAACTTCCTGAGCTAATTTAACAAAAACAACAACAACAAAAATAGTGCCGAGAAAGGTGCATGGATTTCAGTATAAAGGCCTGCAAATGCATTCAATTCAGAGCTATGGTTTTCATCAGAAAAACCGAGGTTGCATTTTAATGTGATCACGTGCACACACCAGGACCTGATTTTCCTAAATTGTTCTCACTAAATGGAATTCCTTTACCAAAGCACAGACCCATTTTTTCCCCCAAGGGGCATACTATTCTAGTTCTCCAATGAAACTCAATTCTGTGCAGTTCAAGGTTGAACCAAGACTGTAATAAATCCGTCTTTAAACACTTCCATTTATTTATTAGGAGATTTTAAATTATTTGATCCTATATATTTTGTTTTAGAAGACAAGAATATATGGAGCAGGGGAAGTTAATCCCTTACTCTTTTCTCCTGCTTATTCTCTACTTATCAATTCACTTTGGTTCAAAACATATTGATTACAGTGCTATGGACTGAGTAAGATGGCAAATGAATCGTTTTGCTGATAGCTTAGAACATAAAAAAGACTAACAGTAACTTGTTCGCATTTCTCTTCTCTAGATCTTCCACTGCTGTCAAAGAATGTCAGCTTCAGTTGGGTTTTCTAAATGTGTTTTTCAAAAACTCTGAGTAAACTTAATTTTGGAATCTTTAAAATGCCAACAGTGAGCGCTTCCTTGCGCAGAGCAGCCCGGGTTGTCATGGTGAAATGGGTCAGAACTCTTTGCCAGGCAGCCGGTGGAACTGCAAGCAGGCTGTTGGCGTAGTGATCGCAGCACAGGCCAAAGCAGTGCACAATCTATAGCTGAATCTAGGTCACTGGGATTCTTTGATGCTGCAGCTGTCCGTGCGGGACTTCCATCTCCGAAAGGGTCCACAAAGCCCCCGAGCACACAGGGCATCCCCCGTAGCTGTAAACACGCCATTCTTCTAGATCCTCCCCTTCTGCTGGCCGTGTGTTGTTCTTCACATTTAATTGAGGGCGCTCAGCCATGTGAGCTGGAAACCGTTCCGTGTGTGTGTGTGTGTGTATGAGTGTGAGTGTGTGTGTGTACGTGTGTATATACGTGTGTGTGTGTGGTGTGTGTGTGTACGTGTGTGTGTGTGTCTGGACATGTGTGTGCCTGTGCAAAAAAGACACAGAGACGAATCACCCTGGAGCCTGCATGTTGAAATCTTTCCCATTTAAATGCGTATTTCTGCAGAGTGAGCTAAATATTAATACCACATTCTTCTGTTAATGTAAACACTAGCAGCAAGCTTGACGGCTCATAAAAATAGAGGAAGAGCTTAGGCTTTCTTCCATATGCAGCATGTGTATTTTTTTCAGGGGTAGCATTTGCGTTAACACCACGTCTATGCAGGAATTCGGTGACATAGGCGGGCAGCTGAGAGAGCAGAGCAGAGGCCTCCAGCGTCTTTACCCACTCAACCGTTGGTCAGTGCTCCCGTTGCTGGGAAAACTCTAATTGTCCCCCTTCCTATCAGAACTTTAAATTATACATTTGTGCTCCTTTATGTGCCTTGACTTTTAAAATATACATTGGAAATTACCATTTTCTATTCTATTTAAAAGCAGTGCCAGGCGTGAAGGTCCAGGCTTGTAATCCTAGCACTTTGGAGGCTGAAGCAGAAGGATCATAAGTTCGAGGCCAGCTTGGACTATGTGGTGAGACCCTATCTCAAAATAAATAAATGAATAAATAAATAAGTAAATAAATAAAAGCAGTGATCTGTATCTTGAAATTAAGCCAGTAATCTTCCTTTATATTGACATTTTTATTATCCTTTTTTTTCTGTTGGTTTTCCTATTTGGGGTACATTTTTTAACTGAAGAGCAAGCATCTTTTCAACGTCTGTACAATGCAAATTAGGATCTCCACCTTTTCAAGCTAAAAGCTTATGTGTACACATGCACTCCTAGTATGTCACTTGCTGCTATCAAACACGCCCTGTATACAAATCTTAAGCAAGGGTCTTTTCTCAATTTAACAAGAGGTAAAAAGAAAAGCTTTTTATCTCTACGGTAGTAAGTATATGAGATAGTAAGATTTATACTTATCCACTACTTTCTTCAAAGACAAATGCTGACTAAAATAGCAGAAGAAGATCTCTCATAAAGCCCCAAATATCAAGTCAGTGGAAAAGAGAGGGGGAAGACAGGACTTTCACTTAGCATGAGAGCCAAGTGAAAGGATTAACCTTGGTGAGTAGCAATAACATTCTGAAGACAGAAGGGAAGGAAACAAGGATGGTTCTAGACATAAATAACTTAGAAGATGATGGACAGGAAGTCAAGTGAATTGCCTTAGCCAGGCAACTCAGACCATTAGGAATGAGAACAGCGGTAGCTTGAATCAGTGTCTGTTATGAGCAGGCTGCTCTTAAGTGCTTTTATGCACTGTCTCACTGAACCCTAGCTGCAAAATTGGGAGAGTAGCATCACTGTGTGTGTGAGCATGTGTGTGCAGAAGCTTAGTAAATGAACCAGAACCTCAGACAGTAGAGATGGGAAGTCCTGTTTTGATGTGGGTTGTATCCCTCCAGATTCAGGCTTAATGGCCACAAGATTAGACAGTTCTCTAGCCACATACCCTTACTGTGCTCCTTCCAACAAGGAACATATATTCTTACCCCCTCCCATCATCTCCTGTCAGGACATATGCCCTTCCTTCTTCCTCCTACCTACCAGTTAAAAATTCAGGTGAAATTCAGGTACCCATGGAAGCCTATTCTTCATGCTTTCGTCTCCCTCTGATTCCTGGAGCAGTACTTTCTATGTATTCATATCACACTGTGTATTGCTAGAAATGATCATGGATGATTTTTCTGGGGATATATCCTATGCTTACATCTTAAAAGCAAAAAACAAAAAACATAAACAAACTCCTTGAAGGCAAGAGTTGCATCATGGACTTCCTTCCCCCTTGTATCTATCACGGGTCCAGCAAGTAAAAGGCATTTCAGAAACATTATTTGACTATTGCTTCCAAAAGTAAATGTCAGTAAATATGCTGTAAATAAACATAAAATCTTGAAAATACTTTCATCATAATCTAGGAGTTGGTTCCAGCTGTGGCCTCTCTTGCCCCTGAAGACTATGGATTGGTGTCCAAAGGTGATCACACAAGGAAAAGTAGGGAATAAACCCAGGGCCCACTGTGAGTTCTGGCCTGCCACACAGCTCCTGCTCAGGTGTCCCTCATTCCTCTCACGGGCACCTTTCCAACACTCACCAGTTTCTCAGCTAGACAATTTGATCTGCCAAAGATGCAGAGTTTTAAAGTCAGGCATTTAATAACTGAGGAACCTTGAGCAAGTGATGTAATCTCTCTCTCTTTGAGCCTCAGTTTCCTGTTTGCAAAGGGATGACAATTCTTGCCTAGAAATCCCTACCACAGCCTCAGGGAGCTGTAGCAAAGACTAAAAGGAAGTCATATAGGTAAGACCCCTAGCACACAGCCCTTATCCAATGTATGCAGACATTCAGTTATGAATTCTCTGGACCATCCTGACAAAGGTTTGGGCCTCTTTCTTCTCCAACCATCCTTGGGTTATATACCTTTCTAGAAGTACTCTCTTTATAAAGACAATAATCCCATTCCCACTTGTAAGTAGTATAATATCCTGTTGCTATCTGTACTTCTAAGAGGAGAGGCATGGAGACAAGGCTGGAAAGCACTGTGCATAGAAAATAATTCAAATGATTGCACTGTGT